TTTTTGGTCATCACGGCGTGAGAGGGAACTTTAGCAAGATGGCAGTTAATGTGCTGTCCAATTTCTAAAGGAAAATAAGAAAGAAAAGACTTTCTTTTTCACACAGACTGATTCGTGTACCAAAAGCTTTCAAAAGCTTTTCGGTAGGGAGGAGGAGAGATCGAAGCCCAGCCCAGTTAAAAAAGAAAGACTCCAGTAACATGCATTCATTTTTCCGAACCTCTTTCGAAAAACAAAATTACTTGATGACTTGAATTATCGGAAATTTAAAAAAAATGCGAAATATATAATCCTTATGGTGTTTGACTGGGGAGAGGAAGCCACTTTTAGTTAGCCACTATTCGACCAGGGATTTTGGAGAAAATCATGGACTCACAAGTACATACCAGCAGTGGTTCCATCGTAACACAGGTATAAGTAATCACTTGCTGACGCCGGTGCTTCGCTCATCACGGTTGTATGTTTTACAAATGCCACTTCACCCACACCATCCATCAAGCATTTAAACGCGCCGCTGTAACCAGAATAATTTCCATCTTTCGTGCATTCACTTTTGCACAACGCGCACAGGTTGTCGGGATTTTCTCCTTTAGTATCAATTTTTTCTTCTTTCACTCCTGAAAACGTAATATGAGTGTAAGTAAAACTGTCAAAAATAGGTTGAAATTCTTATCCTCCCACAAATATTTGACATATGTATTAGCTTCAATATGCGAGCACTTCCTCATCATTAGCGCTGCAAGACGCGCGTTTCTTCACGGGGGTCTGGCACTAATAATGTTAGTGCTAGATAAAAAGGACCTAGTTTCGGGCCCTTCGACTTTCGAAGGGTTAATTTCGTTTTTAGGTCTCACTTGTGTGCGTCTAAAGAGCTTCTTAAAGGCCGAGATTTTTTTGGCCAGGGTTACGAGTGCAAGTGATCTGGGTAAGGCGCGGAAGAACGCAAATAAGCAAGCTACAATGGGTTTTCGTTTCACATTTGATTGCATAGTGGATTAATTGGGTAGTTTTTAGTAAACAAGTAGTTTGCATGTTGCTGTACGTCTGCACAGCCTCCAAAACGAATGCATACGTTCTTACCAAATCTTGACGTCTTCAGTTATCTATTTCTGAACAGCCGCACAGAAATATTAAAGCTATTCGCTTTATATCATTTAGAAGCGAAAAGTTTCGGATGGTAACGTCATCTATGCGCCTGCCTTCCAGTAGATCATGAAAACCAATCAAAATGCGC